CAGCTTCCCGAAGCCCCACTATACGGCCCCTATCAAACTCACTAAGTTGACGAAATCGTACAGGTCTCCGTACTCTAGGCATCGTAACCGATCGTAAAGGATGTCAAGAACCAAAATCCGCCAACGTTGATTCTTTACTGCGGCTGAAATATTCATTTTTAGAGCGTTAGTGAATTAAAAAAAAGCAGTAAAAAAACCGGAATGTCCAACTGATAAGGCTGAAAATTTTTTCACTTGTTATTTACAGTAAGATAAATACATTCACCAACTTTTATTAAAATAAATCCATTTAAACTGGGTGTTCGGATTTATATGTCACTTAGTATATTATCCCTTCGAACAATAACATGATCTGCGATTAAACATCATAATATCAACTTCTTTCAAGGATCCGACACTATTTTGAATTTCTGTTTTTTGACGGCAGACTTGAAATCAGAGACCTAAAAAACCCTTCTTTACCAATATTTATCTGAGTTTTAAGAACTGGTGTACAGAGAAATCTATGATGTATGAAATATGTCTAATCGATGCGTAGAATTACCAAGGTTGGGAGAGCGTATAAATGTGCTAACATCAAAAATTGAGATAAATCCTCCCCAACCCCAAGTTTTCTTACCTCTAGTAGTTTTTAAAAAATGATCAGGATCCTCTGAAATGTCAAAAAACGTTTGGGCGGTTTGTTTTTTTTTTGCTTTTGGCCTTTTTCTGTGCCTCAGCTGGGCCAATTTTCAAAAACTACAAAGCTTTTGGCATAGTATACTAAGTGACATATAAATCCGAACAGCCAGTTTAAATGGTTTTATTTTAATAAAATTTTGTATAAGTACTTAATGAAGCATAATAAGTAAATGATAAAAATTTCAAAATGATTGCACTGCTTTAAAGCCCTTTGACCTTTAATAATGTGTGGATGCACCCTGATGTGCTACGCATTCTCCAACGCGCCTAGGCATGCTTCTGATCAGGTGGTCAATGTCCTCCTGTGGTATCTCATTCCAGGCAACCACCATCTCCTCTCGAAGTGCTTCTAGAGTCTGAGGAGGATGTTGCAAATTGAGCAATCTCCTACCCATCGTATCCCACACGTGCTCAATTGGGGATAAGTCGGGAGATCTTGGTGGCCATGGTAGCATTATGACATCATTATGTTGAAAGAAGTCTATTGTGACTCTTGCAACATGTGGTCGGGCATTATCTTGTTGGAAAGTTGGATCTGCCAGGGTGTCAAGATAGGGTAAAAGATGGGGTTCTAGAACTTCGTGGATATAACGCTGCGCGTTCATGTTACCTCTGATGAAGATTAAAGGTGACCTGGAACCATAAGCTATAGCACCCCAAACCATAACTCCAACAGTGTGATGAACATGTCTTTCAACAAAAAATTGTGGATTCCTCCTTTCACCACGTCGCCTTCTAACCCTGGCACGACCATCGTGCATGCCTAAACAAAATCGAGACTCGTCACTAAAGACAATACTGTTCCATTCCTGATCCCAGAGTGACCGTTGTCTGCACCACTCAAGGCGATTACGTCGGTGTTCTCGAGTTAAAGGGAGGACCCAGAGTGGCCGGTATGAAAACAAGCCAAAACTTCTCATTCGTCGGTAAACACTTCGCATGCCAATAGGTCTTCCGAGTTCTGCAAACCATTCATTTGCAATGGACCTGGTAGTGGAGAACCGGTCCCTTAAGGCCAATAATCTTAGGCGGCGATCTTTACGGTCTGTTGTTCTACGGCGGCGTCCAGTGCCCCTTGCCCTTTGCGTACGGCCTTCTCGAAGCCATGCCTGACAACACCTAACCACAGTGTCTACACTTCTTTGCACTCTAACTGCAATTGCCCGAAAAGAAAGTCCAGCTTCCCGAAGTCCCCTATCAAACTCACTAAGTTGACGAAATCGTACAGGTCTCCGTACTCTAGGCATCGTAACCAATCGTAAAGGATGTCAAGAACCAAAATCCGCCAACGTTGATTCTTTACTGCGGCTGAAATATTCATTTTTAGAGCGTTAGTGAATTAAAAAAAAGCAGTATAAAAACCGGAATATCCAACTGATAAGGCACTTGTTATTTACAGTAAGATAAATACATTCACCAACTTTTATTAAAATAAAACCATTTAAACTGGGTGTTCGGATTTATATGTCACTTAGTATAGTAACATTGTGTAAAAGTTTCATCGAAATCCGAGCAGTACTTCTTAAGTTATAGATCGTTATCAGATTAGCGGATACACAGACAGACGGACGGAAAAGAGTGACGTGGTTTTTCGTGATGTAGATGTCATAACATCCAAAAGACAATATCTCATTTTCGAAAAGTATAGTAGGCGCTGAAACTAGGATGAAATAAAAAGAATTCTGTTCTAAAAGCAGATGCTAGCACATACGTTAATTGCAGTTTTGAAATATATTTCATTATAGGGAGTCCTAAGAGTTCACGTGTTTGAGGCGAAGCATCTGATGAAAAAAGACATAAGCGTCTTGGGAAAAGGAAAATCAGATCCTTACGCTGTTGTGACTGTAGGCGCACAAGAATTCAAGACCAAGCCCATCGACAATACTGTTGATCCGAAGTGGGATTACTGGTGTGAGGTAATATTGTATATCTGTGTTTCGGTTCGACCCTCACCGTTGGGATCTCGGAAACTGTGAGAAATGTAAGTCACTTAAATGGGGGCAAATTCGTTACCTAAATACGCTTAGAAAGTTTTGAAATCCACAGTACTTCCGGAGAGAGACGGAAAAAAATGAATTTTCCCAAAATCGATTTAATTTTTTCCCAACTTTATTTGTACAGTATATTCAGATAAGAGATAGACCGGACATTAAACACTGTTGTAAAGATCAGTTTTTGGTGGATTTGTATAAAATCCCATGGGACGATATATATTACATCACTAACTTAGAGGATAAAGCTACGTTTTTTTCTAATCATATTTTGGATTTGTTTGATGTCCATGCTCCTGTTATTTCATCACGTATTACTAAACCTTATGCTCCATGGCTCACAGGTGGCATAAAATTTTTGATCTCCGAGAGAAATAAAGCCTTTAGAAAATATCAGATTTTAAAAAGTCCAGCTAGTCTCGAATATTACCAGAAATTAAGAAATGATGTCATTTCCGCTATTAGGCGGGAGAAAGCAGCATATCTAAGCTTCAATGAACAACTAAATAGTAACAAGCATCTCTGGAAAGCTGTACATTCATTGAAACTCAAAACTAATGTAGATAGATCTTTACCTACACAGTTGAAGAATGCCGATGAAGTAAACAATTATTTTTCTTCCGTTTTCACGCCTTCGGGCAATTGCAAGGATCTAGTTGATAAATTTAATAGTACCAAAATTAATGAAAGTGCTAGATTTGAATTTAGTTTTGCTACCCCACAAAATGTGCTAGACATTATTCTGTCAGTAAAATCTAATGCAGCAGGTTCGGATGGTATAACAGTCTCAATGCTGAAGCTTTGCTTGCCTCGAGTATTACTACCCCTGACGCATTTATTGAACTGTTGCCTGGAGGCTGGGTATTTCCCTGATGCTTGGAAACTATCTCTTGTCAAGCCCTTGCCTAAATGTAAAAATCCAAAATGTCTCTCAGACTTAAGACCTATAACTTTGATTCCTGTTATATCGAAGATATTGGAGAAATTGATTAAACATCAGGTTTATCATTATTTCTCTAATAATGATTTCTTTCCCAAGTGTCAATCTGGTTTCCGCAGTGGTTTTAGTACAACTTCAGCTTTAGCAAGGGTTTTAGATGACATCATTGCTTCGCTTGATAAGGGAGATGCTTCAGCACTTGTATCATTAGATTATTCTAAGGCGTTCGATAAAATAGATCATGAGCTTTTATGTGCTAAATTGAAGTTTTTTGGTTTTTCAGACATACCTCTAATGTTTTTTATAACATATCTTTCAAATCGTAAACAAGTAGTAGAGATAGACAACACTATATCTAGTCCGATTGATATAACATCAGGTGTCCCTCAGGGTTCAGTTTTAGGGCCCTTGTTGTACTTAATTTATACTATAGACTTGGGTAGCTCTGTGAAAAACTCTTCTGTGATGTGCTATGCCGATGATACACAGATATATAAAAGCTTTAATAGTAACACTTTGCATACTTCAATCAATGAGCTTAATGATGATTTGAAGGCAATAGTAGGATACTCAAATGGTAATAATCTTAAGCTCAATAAGGATAAGTGCTCAGTGATGCTTTTTTGTCCTGCTGTCAAACGTAACACTATATTGTATTCTCTTGATGTAAAAATTGACAAGGAGCGTCTAGCTGTCGTAAATACTACAAAAAATTTAGGGTTGATTATCGATTATACTTTACGGTTTAAGGAGCATGTTTCGTCTATCTTAAAAAAATGTTATGCAACGTTGAAGTGTTTTTATGTCAATCGCTCTATTTTGAATTTTAAAGTTAGAAAAAAGTTATGTGAGGCTATTATATTTCCAAGCTTATTTTACTTCTATCATTGTCTTGATTCTATCACAAAAGCAAGACTCCAAAAACTCCAAAATACTTGTTGTCGATTTGTATTTAATCTCAAGAAGTATGATCATGTTTCCTTAAAGAGATTTCAGCTAGGTTGGATGTGTATAGAAAATGCTTGCAAGTACCATATAGCAGTGTTTACACATAAGATCATATCTTCTAGATCCCCCTTGTATCTTTATGAGAAATTTGTTTTCAGACGAAATAATTCAGACATTGATTTCAGACACAAAAAAAGACTAGAGATCCCTATGTATAAAACAACTTTATTTCGTAGTTCATACACTTACAATGCTATCCTGATTTATAACGAATTAGATGACAATATAAAGGATTGGCCAGTAAACAGATTTCGTAAGCATGTGAAACAGATTTATTTGTCATTGTAGTAATTGTGGAAAAGTTAGTTTTTAATTCTTACATTTAATTTTATTTTACGTAATATATGTGTGTATATATGTATGCTAGGAAGCTATCAAGCTCGTTGTTTTGAAGCGTCTTTTGCTTGTCAAAGTTTCCTTTGATTGAGTGTTTCAATTTAGTATTTGGGTAGGTTAAGTAGAGTAGCCAAGAGCTAGACTTCGCCTACGTAGAGGTCACATTATGTTGTAGTGTATATAATGTGCCTAATAAAGACATTTTATTATTATTATTATTTATTATTACATAAACAAGACCACGTGATCATCGAACGCTGTAACATTCGGCAGGGACGTATTAAGAGTCACGCAGTACATATTTTAGATAGTAGATGCTGCTTTGCGTAACTTTGTAGTAAATTAGCACAATTCGATGTGTATACGATTGGTGATGGATATAGGATCATGTGGGGGTGGGGTAAGAAATATATAATGATGTAAATATACATAAGGGTTTCAAAATTTTCGCTTCGATTTCCAGCTTCGGATGCCGCCTGATGTTTGGTGAAATACAGTCGAATATAATCTCAAAATGGCGTTTAAATTAGCCTAAATTAAAAATAATCGTATATCTCTTAAAATTGCTTTTAGAATATTGATTAGTATATTTTTTGATTTCTAGGTAAATATGTAACCAAATTAAAACGTTCAAAACGTAAAAAATGTGCATGGTTGAACATTGTCAGAAAGTAGATTCTTGAATAGGTTTTGCCAAAATGGGTTCAAAAATGTCAATAATTAATTAAAAAATACAGTAGCTTTATAATTACTTATAACTTACCGAATTTGATGAACGACATCTTTTATTGGAAAGATGAGCTTGATGAGCTTTCATCATCGCTACTGCCTGAAGCACCAACGTCAATAATGAATGGCTCGACTTGTTCCTCTAAAATATTGTCCAGTTCCCACATTCTCTTTTCAACTTTGTCTTTCACGTGCTTAATACAGTTTTCCCATTTTTGCGCTGTTATTAATTCTAGTGCTTCTTTGAAAAGTCCTTTGAGGTCACAAAATTTAAAAGTTGTATTGTGCTTAGCTATATAATTTTTAACCTCTGCCCATATGAGCTCAATGGGATTGAGCTCGCAATGGTATGGAGGTAAACGGAGCACAGTTTTATTTTGACTTGCTGCCATTTCGTCAATGGCGTATTTTTGATATTCCGCCTTGTGATCCTTGACAATTCTTAATAATTGTACTTTCAGCATTGCTTCTTCAAAGTTGATATTTTTCGAGCGGAGCCAATTTTGAACATCAACTTTCCTTGAAGCCGTTGTTGGGACCTTCTTCATTCTTCGAGAATGATAAGGCGCATTATCCAACACAATTACTGCGTTTTCCTCTAAGTTCGGTAAAATTTTTGAAAACCACTGTTCAAACGATTCGCCATTCATTTCCTCGTGGTAATCTCCAGTTTTCTTAGACTCAAAGCACCAAAGACCGTCAACAACAAATCCATCCTCACTGCCAATATGGCAGATAATGAGCCTTTTCCCTTTACCTGGAAATCGAAGTACTAACTGGTGTAGATTTATTCCAATAAGCGAACCTTTTTCAAATGTTTTCATCACATTCAGCGAAAAAACATTGAGACATGAGTATCAGATTGCTATAATTGGGATTATTTAGTCATATTGAAAGAAAGAATATTGAACGTCGTATGATTACTCAGCGCTTCACAATTTAATTTAAAGTTATAAACCTTTAAAAAATGAATGATCAGGAACCTGAAATACGCGCAAATATTAATATTAACAAATTATAACTTTATGAAGCTTAAAGTATGAATTAAAATGATTAGAAATATTAGGAACGGTACACAATATAAAACTTAGTAACTTTCTTTAAGTTTATAATATTCGACATATTTTAAGATTATATTAAAAAATTATTGAAATATCGAAAACACATAAAAACATGGCTTAAAAAAGTTCTAACAAATGAAAATGACAATAAAACATCCACGCATTTTATCGAAAGTTATAAAAGTTTTGTTACTTGTAATATGTTTTATCTGCCCTCCGATTGTTGTCTATTACTCGTATTTTCCTGCTGGATTTTTTAATCCGGTGGACAGCCCATCTAGAAAGGCCCTCCTGGATGAAGTTACAGAATCATCAACCCATACTTTACTTGTAGTGTGTCCTGCGTTTACCCACGTTTCATCAAGGTAATAAATCTTCCTGTTTTGATTTCTATATTTCCCAATTTTTGTTAAATAATCCCTCCTCCATAGCACAATTTCTTCTCTATCCAGTAGTAAACTATTACGACCCCGTTTTTTCCATTTGAAATTTAAATGCTTCAGTAACGCATGGAAAGTTGATCGTTTGAAATTTGGCAACGTTGTATCTCCATTTACCTCCTGCAGTACTTTATCTATAGTAGGTATTTCATTCCTAAAGAAGAATTCATGCACTTTCCTCCTAATCGCATGCTTATCAGCTTCATCCAATGATTTAACAATACTTTTGCGATGTTTACTGGTCATTGGCTCAGAAAAGGTGTGTACTACTGGGCATTTTGCGCAAGCAGTTGATAACAATAACAATCAATAACAAGGTATAACAATAACAACGACAAACTCAACAACTTAATAAGATAACAAACGAAAACGTCCAAAGAAATATCAAATTGCAATGATGCACACGACATACGTAACACGTCTGAACCTGAATGTGACTCTGCCTTGATACGACTGCTCTGTCGCTCGGCATAGGCATTTAATTGCGAATTGACCAATGAGGGCTCCTGTTTTACGTCGAGACGGCGGCGTTAGCGTGAAAATCACCCGAACCTTTTGTTTACATCCGGTCTATCTCTTATCTGAATATACTGTAGTGTCAAAATAATTTGCCACTTTTTCCTTCTCTACAAGATGGCACAATTAGAATTTCAATATGACGTTTCGTCCTTTATTTTTTCTTATCGACAGCATATTCGATTTTTGCACTGATGCATAAAAGATTTTAATTCTGATTCTAAAAACCTATAATATGTCATACATTGACATTGCCAAACTTCAGTTTTTTCCAAAAAACAGTATTTCCTAGGTAAACCTTGGAATTATCAGTCATTTGTTTCACATACCACAATTATCGCAAAACCATTTTTTTTTCTTCCTGACTTTATTTGAGATCGGATTTTTAAATGAACTGCATGTTGTAATTGCCACTTTCTCTTCCATACAAAATATGGCGTAGTCAAATTTTCAATCCGAGGTTTCTTCTTCCGACTTTCATCACTTTCTCATATGGACGTCGTTTCCTTAGTTGACGATGAATTTGCTAATGGAACGAAAATTGTAAGGAAAAAAGGTATGGTGAAACGTGAACACAAAATGAAACTTTTATTGATGGTGATAACAATAATAACACTGATCAACAGCCAAAAAATATCCTAAATAAAATCAACAAAATATTACTATTTTTAATGTGCTAAAACCGGAATGAAACTTATTTTTTCAATATTAGTTCAAGTTTTAGAGATACGGTAATTATATGTGTTCCTGCTGTGACAGTGTTAATATACTGTAATTCACAAGAATGCACGTGCTACATTTTTATATTCGGCAAGGAAAGATGATGTAATCGGCATGATTGTGTTACGTTATACATACGTGTACATTATATTGTTTTATATTAGCCATTTTTTCCTCAGTTGGCTGACAGCGTTCATGCAAGATGTCTCGAAAGTGTGTAAACAATCCAGATCAGTTTTGTTACGTGTGTGGTGATGTGACTTTTGCGTCTCAGAGACGGTCTATTACTCCACTAATAACAATGGCTTATCAGCTTTATTTAGGTTGTAAACTAGGTGATCAAGACAAACAGTGGGCACCCCACATCTGCTGTAATACATGTGCTTCAAGTCTGAGGAGCTGGTTAAATGGCAAAAAACGGTCTATGCGCTTTGCTGTCCCAATGGTTTGGCGAGAGCCTACAAATCATATTAATGATTGTTACTTTTGCATGGTACCTTGTGTTGGACAAGCCACAGGTATGTCCAAGAAAAAAAAATCGGTTATTAACTACCCAAACATACTATCTGCGATGAGACCTGTGCCTCACAGTGACGAAAATCCTATTCCAAAAACCCCAGAATCCTACACTTGCGAATCAGAAAACGTATCAGATCATGGCGATCGAGTGATTCGTCAGGAAGAAGATATGCCATCAACGTCAAGAGATCCTGATTTTATACCGAGCACGTCATGCCACCAACCGCACAAAATAACACAGTCAGAATTAAATGATCTTGTAAGAGATTTAGAACTTCCAAAATGTAAGGCAGAGTTACTTGGATCAAGACTGCAGCAGTGGAACTTGTTAGAAGACGATGTTTCGGTATGTGTTTTTCGTAAACGCCACAAAGACTTAGAACCATTTTTCAATATGGAGAATAACTTGGTTTTCTGAAGTAACATTAACGGCTTACTGGCGGCTTTAAATATAAACTATAACCCAGAAGAATGGAGATTGTTTATAGACAGCTCGACATTGAGTTTAAAGGCAGTGTTATTGCATATTGGAAATATTTTACCATCTCTTCCTGTAGGGTATGCAGTTCACATGAAAGAATCATATGACAATATGAAGTACCTATTGACATGCATAAAATACGATGAGCACCAATGGCATATTTGTGGCGATTTGAAAGTTGTTGCACTTTTACTTGAGCTGCAGCTAGGCTACACAAAGTTTTGCTGTTTTTTGTGTGAATGGGACAGTCGGGCAAAGGCACTTCATTACACCAGACAAAACTGGCCTGTTCGTCAATTCCTAGAGCCAGGTCAAAGAAATGTACAGCATATGCCATTAGTAGATTCGAAAAAAAAATTTATTACCACCACTTCATATCAAGTTGGGCCTAATGAAAAACTTTCTCAAGGCATTAGATAGAGATGGGTCAGCTTTTCAATACCTGCGTCAGAAATTTCCAAGACTAAGTGAGGCAAAGGTTAAAGAAGGTATTTTTGTTGGGCCACAGATTCGAAATATTTTGAAAGATACACAGTTTGAAAACACTTTAACAGGTATTGAAAAAACTGCTTGGAATGATTTCCGTCTGGTGGTCACTAATTTCTTGGGAAATAGAAAAGCTGACAACTATAAAACCCTTGTCAAAAATATGCTGTCATCGTATCAAAAGATGGGCTGTAATATGTCTCTTAAGATACATTTCCTACACTCACACCTGGACTTTTTTCCTGACAATTGCGGAGCCGTAAGTGATGAGCACGGCGAACGTTTTCATAAGGATATTTCAACAATGGAAAAAAGGTACCAGCGAAAGTGGAATCCTTACATGCTTGCAGACTACTGTTGGACTCTTGGTAGAGATGCTCCAGAAACGCTCCATAAAAGAACAGTAAAAAGACAGCGCATATAGTGATTCTTATAAGTATATGAATCTTGTTACTTTTTTTAATATATCCTTAAAAATAAAAAGTTTTTTTTCTAAACCGCAACTAATTTTTTTATTTCATTGTCATTTTTGGATTCAGCGCCCCAAAATTAACAAAGAAGTGCACTTTTCCCACAAGATACAATTAAAAAACTAAAATTTGTTGTCCAGTGATAATCATAGCAGAGGTAAATCATATCAGACGTTCAAATTGTCCGTTATTTTGTAGGCAAAGCCTGACTCTTCTCTGTACATTGTTTACCGCTCGGTTTACTTCTCTTCTCAGTCTTCCAAATTCTGTTACTGTGTTCAATTCGAGTTCTGGTCTGGTATATGAAACAAATGACTATTTGATAATGTCAAAGCCTACCTAGGATTTTTTTTAAATAACTAAGGTTTGGTAATGTGAATGTATGACATGTTATACATTTTTGTAATCACAATTAAAAACTGTATTCGTCTTTGCAAACATCTAATATGGAATCATAATAAAAAATGAAGTTGATGCTGGACGACAAGAGACGAAACGTCATATTGAAATTATAATTATGGCATCTGATAGAGGAGAAAAAGTCAGAGGGGGATTGAAACAATTTTGAGAAAAATTTTTTTCAGCCCGTGTACGAAACTACTATGAATTTCGAAAATTTCTAAGCTGCATTTTATTAGTTACCTAAATATACAACTTTGTCCCCATTTAAGTGACTTCGGAGACGATAAGAGATTCCGTCTCCGAAATCACAATGGTGAGGGTCGGATTTGAAACACCCGATACATTGCATATTTCATTTCTTCTTTTAATTCCACTTTCAGTTCCAAATATTGGAATCCAGTGGTCAACAGCTTTACATCCATCTGTGGGACAAAGATGACACTGGAAATGATGAATCCCTTGGAAGGTAAATGTAGTCTCCCATGAATGAAATAGCTTCACCACCCAATACGTCCATAACGATGATTTTTAGAAAAATCAAAATTAATTTGAAAAGGAGGGTCTATTATCCGCGCGCTTTTGCTTTCCATTCACCTTCAACTTCAGTTAGCTTTTTTCCTCAATGTGCCTTAGTGCATGCGTTTTAGCGTGCCTTCTAATATCGTCGATACGTAAAGGGTGTCCCAAAGAAAATGCAAAATAGTTTTATGAGCAAACTGGAAAGTATACAGGGTGTTTCAGAACTATGAGATCAAACTTGTAGGGGTTATTCAGTGTAACAGTAGAAAACATTTGAGTATAGGGACGCATTTCCGGCGCTTGTCTGTTGTTGTCTTTAAAAACGATAACAGAGATTGTTTTTTGTCGCTGTATTCCATATCGCCTTAGTCGTGCTATCGTATATGTGAGGTTTGCAAAAATTCAACAAAAAATAAATGGTGGTAATGGAAAACTTTACCAATCAAGAATTGGCGTATATGCATTTAGCATGCGGGGCAACAAGCTGCAGAGCACGAGCAGCAGCGCGGTTGTATCAAGAACGTTATCCCGAACGACAGCATCCGGGATGCAAAAAGTTTATTACTATTCATCGGCGGCTCTCCGAGACGGACATGTTTAAAACCAACATGCATGATACTGGTGTTGCTCGAACCGTAAGAACGGTCGGATTTGAAAAAGAGGTCCTCAGCGAGTTGCCGACGAACCATCAAGTAGCACACGTCACATTGCTGAGGATATGAATACGAGTAACGCTTCCATCTGGCGGGTGTTACACGAGCAACAACTTTATCCTTACCACTTCCAGAAAGTTCAAGGATTGACTGCAGCCGATTATCATCCTAGAGTTCAATTTTGTCAATCGCTTCTTCATCAAATCACTGCACAACCAAATTTTTTACGATTTGTTTTATGGACCGATGAAGCCTCTTTCACAAGAGACGGTATTTTTAATAGTAGGAATAGCCACGTTTGGGACAAAGAAAATCCCCATGCAATTTTTCCTAGAAAACATCAGCAACGTTGGTCTGTCAACGAATGGGCAGGCATTGTTGATGATTATTTGATTGGGCCATACCTTCTACCGGAACGGTTAACAGGATCTATTTACCGGCGTTTTTTGGAGGAAGTTCTTCCAGAACTTCTTGAAAATGTTCCATTGAACGTTCGACAGCAAATGTGGCTTCAGCATGATGGAGCGCCGGCTCACTTAGCTGTACAAGTACGTGAGAATTTGGCTCATCGGTTTGGGCACCGTTGGATTGCCGGAGGTGGAGCAGTTTCTTGACCTCCTAGGTCACCCGATTTAACGTCACTAGATGTTTTTCCTGTGGGGATATGTAAAGTCTTTGGTTTACGAAACTCCAGTAGAAACAGAGCTCGACTTAAATGGACGAATTACAGCAGCATTTGAAATCATTCAAAACGAGTATCAAATTTTTAGTCAAGTCCGCCAAAATCATGTGCGACGTTTAAATCGGTGTATTCAGGTTGGAGGAAGACATTTTGAACAATTGTTGTGATGATATCATGTACAAAAGGCAAAAATTGAATCCATTAAATCCTATTTGGGTAATTTTTGTCATCGCTTTTACGTTGATATGGTAATAGTGCTGAAATTTCTTCCTATTATGCAGGGTGTCTCAAAACACAAAATGTACCTTTTCTCAAAAAAATTCCACCCTGTAAATTTCTACACCATAAAATATTTTTTTGGATGAACTTTATTTTATAGAACTCTATTATAACAGTTTTTGAGATATTGCTTTTAATTTCCAGAAATATCAAATCCTAGATCATATACAGGGTGACTTGTAATGCCACGTATTCCTGTTAAGGGGTGATAGATTAGGTCAAAAGCAACCGATTTTGTCCTATAATGTCCTATCCAGAAGTTAACCGTTTTTGAGTTATTTGATTTTATTTTTTTTTATTTTTTATTCCGATTTCAGACGGTTAAATTTGAAATACAAAAAAAAAACCTACATGTTTGATTTTGAGTTTTTTGTTATCGTCGCATAGCGGACATTCCATTAGTTCATAATAATTAATAAAATATTGAAAACTTACAAAAGTTTTAAAATTACGGTTTTGAAATGTATGATTTTCTTATTTTTTACTAACCTATTCGATAAAAAATGCAATTTTCTGTAAAAAATCTCCTAGTAATGAAATGTGCAAATTATGTAAATAATATCTCTATCTAACAAGCTTTCATTTGAGGTATAAAAGTTACAACTAACTCAAGTACAAAGACATAAAATTAAAAAAAAAAGACAATTACAGTTTTATTTAATTACATTTCCTTTAGTATTTTACAGATTCTGCTCAAATTGTAATCCCCTGTTACGAATACACACCCGCATTCTCTTACGTAATTCACTTTTGGTAACTAACTAGTTGTTAAGCGGCTTTTTATTTGGTCAGCTGCACTGATTATCCTTGTAATTAATTCATCGCGCGTTGGTACGGGCGAAACATCGTACACCAGGCTTTTCATATGTCCCCACACATAGTAATCCATCGGTGTGAGATCTGGACTTCTTGCTGGCCAAGCAATGGGCCCGCCTCTGCGAATCCATTGATTTGGAAATTTAGAGTCTAAATACTCCCGTACTAATCTACTGTAGTGTGCGGGACAGCCGTCGTGCTGGAACCGCATATTTTGTCTCGTCGCCAATGGGACGTCTTCCATTAATGGAAACATGTGATTATTCAAGAACTCTTCATACACTTCTCCATTTAAATTGGCGGGCAGAAAATGAGGTCCAATTAAATATCCATCAATGTTGCCCATCCACACATTGACTGAAAACCGGCTCTGAGACCCCGTCGGTCTTATTTTTCGGGGGTTTAAAGCTTCTTTATCAGCCCAGTAATGAACATTATGGTAGTTAGTGATCCCGTCCTTATCAAACTTCGATTCATCGGTACACAGAATTTTCTTAAAATAGTCTGTATCTGCATGTAACATGGACCTGCAGAAATCTAATCGTCTTGCAGGATCGCCCTCTTCAATCACATGCACAGGCGTGTAGTGATAAGGGTATAATCTTGCAGTATGCACAGTAAACCATACTTTGTATTGTGATATACCCAACTGAACAGCCACAATGCGCGTAGACGTAGTAGGGTCTTCCTGAAACACACGAATGATTTCCTCTTCATCTTCAGGAGGATAGACTCTGGGTCGACCAGCATCACTATGTTGCCTTTGAACACGTCCGGTTTGGCGGATGCGCCGATACACAGAGTCAAACACAGTAACATGAGGTGTTCGGCGATTCGGGAAACGTTGCCGATATTCACGGCGGGCAGCTGCAGAATCGCCGTTACAAAGTCCATAACAGAACATTATGACTGCGTATTCTTCATTTGTAAAAGTTTGGCCGTGCTCGCCATGGCGAGGTCGTGGCGGATCTTCTGAGCCTGCCATGATGATAAAGAAACCACTCGAAATGAACTGGGAAACTCGAAAATAATAATCGTGCGTAAAACGTGTGCGCGTTCGCAGTAGTTGATACCAACTAAAGCTAATTCTCACTCGGCGTGCGGCGATGGCGTAACTACAATGATGAATAATAACAGCTCTCTCTCTCTCTCTCTCTCCACTAAGTCAGCTCTTCTCGCTCGCTTCCTCGTCGAGCCGATGCCATAAAACAATCATGGCATGCGAGTACTTTGAGGACAGTAACGACTTGTTCAAACTGGTAATACAAATTCCTTAAAAATCCAGCCTCTGTGGGTGTCATTGTTGTTTCTCTGCATGTACTTCAGATAATTGAACGCTTAATACCTCAAATGAAAGCTTGTTAGATAGAGATATTATTTACATAATTTGCACATTTCATTACTAGGAGATTTTCTACAGAAAATTGCATTTTTTATCGAATAAGTTAGTAAAAAAAAGAAAATGATACATTTAAAAAGCGTAATTTTAAAACGTTTGTAGCTTTTCAACATTTTATTACTTATTATGAACTATTGGAATGTCTGCTATGCGACGATAACAAAAAACTCAAAAGCAAGCATGCACTTTCTTTTGTATTTCAATTTTAACCGTCTGAAATCGGAATAAAAAATAAAAAACTTAAAATTCAAACAACTCAAAAATGGTTAACTTTTCGATAAGACATGATAGGACAAAATCGCTTGCTTTTGACCTAATCTATCACCCTTTAACAGGAATACGTGACATTACAAGTCACCCTGTATATGGACATGAGGCCTATTAGCATTTTACCTATACCTAGACAATGCGGTTTTAGCATTTGACACCATCAAATTTTAGTAGCCGAATAGAAATTTTATGAATTTTCTAAATCATCAGATGCTCTAATCAATGGCTTTTCAAGAACTAGTTCACAAAGAGTTGCCGATCTTGATAAGGTTATTAAACATTGCAATATTCTCTGACTCTCATTTATACAATAATTTGACAATATAATATTTGCTGAGGCTCAAATTAATTAAGAGATGAGATCTATCGACAAGTATGCAAAAACTCATAATCCTAGATTAAGTCCAGATAAATCAAAAGTAAATTATATTCTCTCATAAAAAAATTAGAAATCAAATTGAGAAATATTCGACTATATCATGAAATGGTGAATGATAAAAGTATGTGAAAATGTAAAAAATCTAGGCGTATCTCTTGCCGAATATCTGAATTTTATTCGTCATGTGAACTATGGTACAAAAAGATTTTTAGTATTTTGGTAATTATACTTCTCTAACAAAGGGCTAAGTACGTCTCTGCCCTAAATCATACCGCTCCAACAGAAAATGAAATCAGCTGATGCGCTACCGAGCAGACGCTGGCGGTGGTGCAGACCACGAACAGAGGTAACAAATATGACGGCGTTGCCGCGTTTTCAGTTTTTAGGTAAACGTACTTTATAGGTATTGTTCGAAGTTATCGCCGTTTGGTTCAAAAACACAGGTGCGTGCACGACGTAGCCAAGCATCGGTGCAGGCTTTGAGAATGGAGTCCCTCCCCCGAATGAAAGCACTAGCTCGTTCAATTCTGAGACGAAGTTCGTCAACCGTATGCACTTCAGTTTTGTACACTAAGCGTTTCATTTCTCCCCAAAGAAAAAAATCACATGGTGTTAAGTCTGGAGATCGCGGAGGCCACGCTACGGGTCCATTACGTCCGATCCACCTATTCGGAAATAATTCATTCAAAAACTCACGCACTTCGCGTCTAAAACGGGGCGGTGCACCATCGTGCAGAAACCACATTGATTGTCTTACACTTAATGGCACATCTTCTAACAAGGAAGGCAAAATGTTGCGTAAAAAGTCTAAGTATTGTATCCCGTCCAATCGATTTGGGAGAATAAATGGTCCAATGAGCATACCGTTCACCATGCCAGCCCAAACATTCACCGAAAATGTGCCCGACGGACAGCGTGCGGATTTTCTACTGACCAAACATGAATGTTGCGAAAGTTATTCACCCCATTACGCGTGAACGTAGATTCGTCTGTCACCAATATGCACTTCAAAAAGTCCGGATTATTGTCATGTTGATGCAACAACCACTCACAAAACCGCACTCTTGCTGGAAAATCGTCAGGTTGAAGGGCGTGTACACGTTGGACGTGAAACGGATACAGCCCCTCTTCACGCAGCGTTTGCCACACTTTAGTTTTTGATACTTGCACTTCTCTAGCCACGTCTCTAGTGCTTGTTGAGGGATTCTCGTCTACGCGATTACCTCTACACGCGTGACCGTAACCGTCGGTTGAAGGTTGCATACTGACCTGACACACTGACCCCGACCCAGTTCTGTCGTCGGGTTGAGCCAGTGACCTTGTACCACTCGGGGATGTCGCGAGTCGCGGCTACAGGACGGTATTCAGACATTTTTGATGTTGCAGAGCCCTTTATCTCGGTTCCCTTAAGACATTGGTGTATATGGTACTAAGGAAAATTGCTTATGTTTTCAAGATCTACACGTCGTGTAAAGGAAAACCCCAACTTTGCGGACACCCTGTATATTGAAATAATTTTAAAATACGCACTAGTAATATATCAAGGTTACCACGAAACAAGATTTTTGATAACTTTTCCTCTTTGCTTATAAAACTACGTTCCATCTTTGTTAGGACACCCTGTATACAGATACAGGACTTGACACGGGAAGAGAGAGAGAGAGAAAGCACAGGAGTGTGGACATTCTATTATACATTCAGCAGTATTTGGAACTGATAAGATTTCACCATACAAAGTGATAATGAAATTTTTAATATGCAAGACGTCAAATCAATAATTTTTGTAGATGTCTTACATTAAACAGGATCATAATCATACCTTTTCCTTTGTAGGGCTACCGTGGAGGTATCCAATATTGTAGGGAAGGGCACTGATGATATGGTAAAAATCTAACTAATAATATGTTCACAGTTAATTTTTTCAATGTTACTTGAAAATGTGTCGTAAAACTATGGACGCATAAAATTTCAACGAATATTTTCAACTACGACACCTTATTATGAGAAAATCTTGAGGAACAAAAAAGTTAACTTATTTCGGCGATGCTATAATATTATACGTAATTGAACTTTTAGTGGATAACTCTCGAACAAGCGAAGCATGGTATGGTCCATCTTAGGTTCGTCTGGCTGGAGCTCAGCAAAGATCCCCATGATTTGCAAGCCGTGAGTATATGGAATATTATATCTCAACATAGATACTATAGTTGTAGTCACTGTTCTTGGCGGTTACGTTGCAATAATTAAACAGATCGAGTCTCCGTACCATGGGCGGATCACTGCGCACCCTTCAAGGCATCTCCCAACTAACAATTATCACTCCTATTAGAGTTGCAAGAATGATTATACAGTATTCCTTAAACACAATTGTACGTAGTCATGCCATAAGTTCTGTCCCTCGTTTTCAAACAAGTGTAGACCTGTTAATACTTGTCCGATTGTTTACATTGTGGTGTCAGTTGATTAAGCGCTTTTCGGGTAATTACATATACCTCAGTTTGTATTGATCTCTCGAAGCATAACGATGGAGTGGGGCAAGGCAGAGAACCGTATTGCAGTGATAGCTTTACATAAGTGTAATCACAGTGCTAGTCAGATTTTTGAACTCTTACGCGGCCTTCAAATATCGCGTAAATTTGTGTCTAGGACCATTCAGCGGTACAATGAGACGTCCTCTGTTGATGACAGGCCAAGAAGCGGAAGACCTCGTCAAGTAAGGACTCCAGCAGCCATCAAAGCCGTAAAAGCCAGGATTCAAAGGAATCCACTCCGGAAGCAGAAGATCCTATCCAGGGAAATGAAGATTCCTGTCCGGACGATGTCGCGCATCATTAAACAAGACCTAGGGCTAGGGGCTTACCGGAGACGTACGGGCCAGCGACTTACGGCCACCTTGCGACACATCAGGGCGACAAGATCCAAGAAGCTCTTGGAGAGGTACGCAGCTGGGGGATTCCGAAAGATTTTGTTCACGGATGAGAAAATCTTCACCATAGAAGAAAAATTCAACCGACAAAATGACAAAGTGTATGCAAGGAGTTCACAGGAAGCTTCGGAGATCATTCCGAGAGTTGAGAGAGGCCACCACCCTGCGTCAGTCATGGTTTGGTGGGGGGTGTCCTACGAAGGGGTCACTCAGCTCCATTTCTGTAAACAGGGCGTGAAAACAAAAGCGGCAAACTATCAGAGCGACATACTGGATCCTATCGTCAAGCCTTTAAGTGGTACATTGTTTGCCAACCAACACTGGGTCTACCAGCAGGATTCCGCCCCCGCTCACAAGGCTAAGAGTACGCAGCGCTGGCTGGAAAGCAATGTGCCAGAGTTCATTGCTGCGGAAGATTGGCCCTCAGGGAGTCCGGACCTCAATCCTTTAGACTACAAGTTGTGGGACCTGCTAGAGCAGTTGGCCTGCTCCAAAGCCCACCGTAATATCGAGTCCCTGAAAGCGGATTTGATCCGATCAGCGGCAGCTATTCCTTTGGAAGCTGTGCGTGCAGTGATAGATGAGTGGCCCGCGAGATTGAAGTAGTGTGTGAAGGCCAAGGGGGGACATTTTGAATAAAACTGTTTGATTATGAATTCTAAAAATGTTGTCGAATAAATAATATCTTTCATATAAATATATCTTATCTTGTTTCATTTTTATCATGAGATTATCATGGGACAGAACTTATGGCACGACTATACTGTAAGAATATTAGCAAAACATGTTTGTTTTATAAACGTTAGCATGGGTGCCACAACACAACCATTTTGACTAACTTGCAAATATGCCGTATAAAATAGTTGTATAAACGTTTATGCAACAGTTAAAAATTTGCCCTATAAGATGTTGTATGACTATGCTATAAGAATATTTTAAACACCTCATTTTAGAGCAAATATGTTGCAGAAAGCAAATTTGCATTCCACACAACATTAAGCCAGCATTTTGGTGTTCAGGCAACAACAATAGAGAGCTTTTATGGCTGAACGGTTCTTTTACCAAAAGCTTATACCACTACTTTGCTAGTTGGGCTGCTACTCTCTCCAGTACGCATGAAGTGGGTAATAGGGGACCGCTGTTTTCTTTCTCTTCCTGGAAATATTCTAATAAATTTAGCTCAACCTGTAGGCCTTCTCCACTGATCGTATTTCCGGGCACCGTACAATTTTATATTGAAGATTGATAACGGGACAACCCAAATTGCACGCCGATGTCAAGTAGCTTGTCACTGACAAATATAGTTGAAGGCACTAATATGTAACGACAAAGTTTCCGACACGGAGATACACAATTAAAAAACGTATGTCTTTGAGCTTACCGGACAAATGTTCACACACTGGGATAGGTTGCATGTGTATGTATGAGGGAGATGGAGATATATAAAGGGATACTGCTAGTCGTACTATGACCCTCCAAGAACGGTGACTACAACTATACCTTTTGCAGAAACGCGTTATTTTTTTCAGTCTATAGATCACAAGACTTCAGTTCCATCAGAGGCATACATTCTACACACTTTTATTTTTTTTAAATTCTGTCAACTACAGTGCAATAACACATAAACTAATTTGGTTGAGAAGTAAGTTATTAAAGCTATGAAACTCCGCTTTGATCTAACGTACGAGGGTGGTCCCAGAAGTACCCGGCCTGACCTAGTGATGGTGATAGTTATTTGAAAAATATCATTGTATTAGAAAGTATGCAACCTATAAAGTTTGAAGACGCCACGTTGTTGAGTATTTGTTTGGCAGCCATCAATACTGAACGTTTTCAGGGAATTTGTGAAAATGGGGAAAATTGGTCATTGTTATGTGGTACAATACTTTTATTTCAAAGGCCTCAGCCCAACCAGTATAGAAGCTGAACTGGATTCTACTCTGGGTGAGTCTGTTCCTTCATTTACAATATTAAAGTATTGGGTAGCAAAGTTTAAACGAGGCCATACGAGCTGCCAAGACGAGCATCGCATTGGTCGACCAAATGAGGTGACGACACCAGAAATTGTGAAGAAAATTCACAAAGCGGTACTGAATGATCGTCGACTGAAAGTGCGCGAGCCAGCAGACATAGTAGGCATTTCAAAAAGTACGGTTCATTGCATATTATGTAAAAATTTGGACATGAGAAAGCTGTGTGCAAGATGGGTGCCGCGATGGCAAACAATCCAGCAAAAACAGTGTCGTGAAGATGTTTCAATTGCGTGTTTAGCGAAGTGTCACAGCAACAAAGCAGCATTTTTGCGTCGTTTCATAACCATGGATGAAACATGGGTTCATCACTTCACACCCAAGACAATGGACTCAAAAGGGACAACCGGCTCCAAAGAAGGCGAAGACCGTTTCATCTTGAGGCAAGGTTATTGCGTCGGTTTTTTCGAGATGCGCGTGAGATAATTTTCATTGACTATCTTGAAAAAGGTAAAACTATCAACGGCGAGTATTATGCGAACTTATTGCAACGTTTGAACGATGAAATCAAACAAAAACGGCCGCATTTGGTTAAGAAGAAGTGTTGTTTCATCAAGGCAATGCACGAGCTCACAAATCCGTTATTGCAATGGCCAAAATTAACGAATTAAAGTTTGAATTGCTACCTCATGCACTCTATTCACCAGATTTAGCCCCCTCGGATTATTTTGTTTCCAAATTTGAAAAAATGGCTCAGTTGTCAAAGATTTTCCAACGATGCAGAAGTGATGTCGGCAGTTAATGGATATTTTGAGGAGCAAGACAGTTCTTATTATAAAAAATGTATCGAACTTATTGAACATCGCTGGGAAAAGTGTATACTGCTCAAAGGAGATTATGTTGAAAAATAAATACATTTTTTTATAAAATTTTTGTGTTTTCTTCGTACGGTCGGGTACTTCTGGGACAACCCTCGTGTATATATTAATGATAGTCAACCCTGAGCATTGACAGGATGTAGTGCGTCTGTTAAAATATTTATGTTACTCATAATACAGTGAACCCGCGGTTATCCGACAAACGAGGATATTACGAATAACCAAAAACTAAAAATACAAAAATATAATATGGGGCATTAAAATATTCGTTAATTTTTTTTTTAAGTTGTAAAACTGCGAAATCAAACCTTGTCCCTTAGTCTTCTCAAGAGTGATCGTTTGTTGCAGGAACGTATGCCTTGCGGACTTTTGAAACCTTCTAGCCATCTCTTGCTAGCCACAGAGTCATCTTTATTCCATTATTTCCTTGTAAAAAAACTTGGTCAACCTAGGTCCCGAAATGAAGAAACCACATGAACAAAGCTGCCTTCGCCTCTGTAGCTTTTAATCTTCTCGTTTTTCTTTTTACTGTCATAACTTGTACATTGACCTACGCCTTATTCACTTGCTAAACTGCTGAGGGATGTATTACGATTTAAGCGATCGAAAATATCACTTTTCTTTAACGTCCGTGTGTTAGACTTTCGCTTTGGGGCCTGTGATTAAATTACTAAAAAAGTACATGTATGTGACACAACAAATAAACAGTAAACAATAATGAATACTCGCTAGGCCGCTATTGCATGTATACAGTCGAATTCAAACTGAAATACACGTTTTACATTGACAATAACTCCACAGATTTCTTCATGAAGTGAGTTCGTGGCTAAATTTCAAAAGTGTAAAACAGGAACTTGACGTCACATAAAGCCATGAAGTTCTTCTTAGATTTCTTCACGAAATTAGAGCTTTGATAGAACTTCATTATTCAACAATATGGTTTCTGTTTATGAGATTCACCTAAAAATCAAAACCATAATAAACCAACCAAAGGTGGCGCGTACAAATTTTAGTGATAGGATATGAGTGTCGGATAACAAGGGGCGCTGGATTAGACAAGGTCCGGATTACCGCGGGTACACCGTATTTTTACAATATTATAGAACTCGGGCAACTTAAGAGTATCAATCAAGGGATTTGACAATGATATACCCCATTCGTAGTACATTTACGCCCAGACAAAACACAACATGCCCAAAAGCGAGATGTACAGGTCAGTATTTTCCTTAATGGAATAAACTAACAAAATAAATGATTATTTTTATAAAAAGAAAAGCACATACTTTTCACAATTCTTTATTCGTTGGAAGTACTTGTATCAGCGTCCGAATGGTTGATATTAATTATTTCAGGTTCAATTTGAATATTGATCATATTATATTGTCCAGATCC